TTTTTCCTTTTTGCCTCTCCTTTCCATTTGATTGTTAATGGGTTATGGTCCGCCCACATATTCAGTGTTAGTTCTTCTACTTCTACATCCTTCTCCATTTCAGCCAGCACATGACACATCCAGCCTGTGGGCCACGAGTTTGACACCCTTGATCACCCTTGATCTATGATCACATATAAACTCTCTTTCCACACTGTCAAGAGCTTTTAGTGATATTATAAAAACATTTTAGTTGGCTTTCTGATTCAAGAATAGTTTTATATTGGTTCACAGTGCATATATTTTACATAGGCAAGATTTCATATCTGGACAATTAACTTTAATCAAAAATACATTATTTTAGGGTTGTGTGAATCCAGCAGTTGGGTGATTCCAGCAGCTAAGTTAAAAAAGATCAGCTCAACATGCATATGAGCTAAATTACTAATTTGGTTATCAGTAGAAGGTGATAGCAAGATGAGTATCAATCAGTGCAAGTAACAATATTTTATATTACTGGCCTGCTACATTAGCTATGTTCTATTTCTTTATTGAGAAATGGAAATATAGTCCAAACACACTATCCCTGAAACAGAGGAGTCACTATTGGAGTTATTATGCTGTGGTTTGGAAATCTGTGAGTAGGATTTTAATATTTGACCTGGCATTTCACTTATCTATATAACCTGGTTTGGGGATATTTTTGTTTTAGACATCTAGTGGTTCCATGTCATATAAGATATGTTGTAATATAACTCAAAGAGTTGTGGTCTCTTTAAATAAAGTCATTTCTCTCTTTATTAAAATAGAACAAACCTTACTTTGAGTTTGAAATTTGTTCAATTATATTGTTACTTTTCTTTAGTTTACAATCGGCATTTAAAAAAACTGATTTTGTTTTTTTAAAAAATAATAATTTTTCAGAATGAAAACAGTGGTTCCCCTGTCCATGAAATAAATGAAGAAACAGAATCAAGGCGTAAAAAAGTTGAAGCACTAAAGGTAATAATGAAAAATAAAGGAGAAAAATAGCTGTTGAAAAGGTAGGATGCAATTATCATATGGATTTTATATGTAGGAATTGCCACTGCATATTAATAATTTCCAAAAAAGAAAAGAGTCAGAGCCCTTAGATTATTAGTAAAGTATAGGTAGTTCTCAACTTATGACTATAATTGAGCCCAGAATTATCATCATAAATAATGATGGTCATTAAATAGATCATGGTGTGATCATGACAAACTTCAAGACAACTTTGGATTCCTAGACCATGGTTTGCATTACATACAAGAAGAGCTTCTGCACCTCGCAAGAACCAGGAAGAATGTACTTGGAAAATAACTGGCTCAGCTTTACTGAAGGGCTTTAAACTAAAACTATGAGGGGAAGGTGACCAATCTTTAGCAACCAATCCCAAGGATAAATCCCACAACAATCAAACAAGGAGGTAGAGCATAATTGAAGGAAGAAAAACTCAGATATAAACTAAGATGTATGAAGTTGAAGCATACCCTTGGTTAGCCATAAAGGACTCAGATGACTATAACTAATGCTCATGGTTTGGGGAACAAACAGTGTGAACTTGATGGACTAATACATGAGAGAAAGTATAAAGTATAAAAGTTGGAAAGAGGGACACATAGCTAAGGCAGCATACCAGTATATAGCAATAGCTATAGCAAGATATCTCCACTTCTGGTGACCCAGACAATGTTTTGACTGCCCTCTCACGGTGCCTGGATGGCTGTGAGGGCCTGGATGGTAGACAGCAGGTTTTGGCTGCACCCTTGTAAGTCTGAGTGGCTTCGGTGCGTGGAGCTCCAAGATCCAGGACTTTTAACATTTTTACTGTGTTTCCCCAAAAGTAAGACAGGGTCTTCTTTTCTTTTGGAACCCCCCCAAAAAAAATTTGCTTGGGCCTTGTTATCGGGGGGGGCTATTGCTTTGGGGTTGCCGGGTGGCTGCTCTCTTGTGAGCGGGCTCCCAAAGAGCCGGGCACAACCTTGGGGCAAACGGCTGTGTTGCCCTGTCGCAGCAGCGCAACAAAGCTGCCATGAGGTGACCATGCTCATAAGCAGCCGCCTGGCAATTCCCCTTTCCAGCTGGGCAGAGCACCACTCACCAACCCAGTAATATCCCAAAGGCGCTAAGCCGCGTGGTGCTCTGCTGGGCCAGGACGCCACCGCAGCCCTGCTGCCACTGCTGCTGCCACCGCTATGCTCCGAGCATAACCGGCTTCCAAACTCCGGAAATCCACTGCCGAGTCTTCAGCCAGCCCACAACCATAGAGTGTAGTCCCAGAGCGGCCACTGCCGGAAGACTCAGCAGCGGATCTCTGGAGTTTGTAAGCTGGTTATGCAGCATGGCGGCGGCGCCCTGGCCCAGCCCTGCCGGGAGAGTTGGGCATAGTGAGGCAGGGAGGCACACGAGTTGGAGGCAGAACAAGTGCTCGCGCAACCTCTCTTTCCAGCCGGGCAGAGCACCACGCGGCTTAGCGCCTTTGGGATATTACTGGGCCGGTGAGTGGCGTTCTGCCTGGCTGGAAAGGGGTGTTGCTGGGCGGCTGCTTGTGAGAGCAGCTGCCTGGCAACCCTCCACTCCAGCTGGTCACAGTGCCACCCACCAACCTAGCGGTATCCCAAAGGCATCAAGCAATGTGAGCGCCTTTACCCCCCCTCCCCCCGGCTCCTGCCGCTTTGCACCTTTGGGGTATCTCTAGGTTTGTGAGTAGTGCTCTGCCTGGAGGGGGGGGTTGTCCAGGGGGCTTCTTATTGGGGGAGGGCATATATCTTTGCCCACAGGAAAAATATGGCATGGTCTTATTATCAGGACATGTCATAATTTCGGGGAAACACGGTACTTCTGGATGGGGGTGCACTACCCTAAATAGAACCTGTTCACAATTTGAGGGTTTTCCTTGATTCATAACTCCTGTTCAAAGAGCAGGTGGTAATCACAGCTATGAGAGTTTTTGCATATCTTTATTTTGTGTGCCAGTTGCTGCCTTTCCTGGGTCAGGCGTCCCTGTGCTCAGTTACTCAACCTCTAGTCATCTCATGTTTGGACTGTTGCAATGAGCTGTATATGGGGCTAACCTTGAAGAGCATTCAGAACATATAGCTGATGCAGAGTGCAGCAGCACAGGCAGTTTTTAGGGTTCCTATAGTGGCTGCATGGCATGGGTCAATGCTACTTGAAGAATCGTCTCACACCAATGTGACCGGCCCACACTGGCAGAGGGGTCATGCTGCAGATCCTATCAGCCAAGGAATGTCAGCTGTCAGGTTCCAAGAAAAGACCCTTCTGTGCTGTGCCTCCTGTCTTCTGGAACATCCTACCCACTGAGGTGAGGTTGGCTTCCATCCTCCTATCATTTCAAAAGAGCCTCAAGACTTGGCTCTGTCTGATGGCTTGGATATCCAATAGGGGAGCTTCATACTGGAGGTAGTTGATTAGTTAAAACCTAATCCCACCTCCCACACCCTGTGTGTCCATCCCCCACCTTTCCCATTTTAATGGTTTGTAATTGTGAATGGTTTTATCTGCTGTGTGCCCTGTCTATTTTAAAGTCTTTTCTTCTTTAATGTTTTATGCTGTAAGTCATCCAGAATCATTGGATATGAGATGGGCGGCAATTAAATTGTCTAAATAAAAGTAAATAAATTAAATGGGATGTTGCAAACCAGCATAAATATAAACTGGTTACCAAGCACCCAAAATTCAGTTGCATGACCTTGGGTCATGCAACTCCAGCACTGGGTCTTAAGTAGTTTTAGGGAGCTCTGTGATAACTTTGAATGATTGCTAGGTAAAAACTATTATATCAGAGAAAAAGATTCTATTATTTGCTCAGCACTGTCAAAATCTATACATGGGAAAATTAAAGGGATTCCAATTGAGAATGTAATAATACCTTAGTCTATTGTTCCACGCCTCTTTATCATGAAGTGCATTTCTTTCCTACTGGGCTAGTGTTGCTCAGTGTAGCTTCACAGTCCCTTTTTCATTCAAAGGGATCTCATTATATTCCTGCAGTCTGTGACATTTTCTTAGCTTAGCCTAAACCTCAGCTTCTTTATGTTGTCAGTAGTACTCAACTTACAACCATTCATTTAGTGACTATTCAAATTTCTGATGGCCCTGAAAAAAAGTGAGTTTCAATCAGTCTTCACGCTTAAGATTGCCAGAGTTGCAGTCATGTGATAATATTTGAGCTCTTGGGAACTGGTATGTATTTACATGGTTACAGCATACTGGGGTCACATGATCACCATTTGGAACCTTCGGAGTCGGCTTTGAACAATGAAATCCACAGAAGAAGTTGGATTTGCTTAATGACTGTGACAAAAAGGTTGTAAAATCAGGCATGACTCACTCAATGACTGCCTAATGTAGCAATGGAAATACTAATCCCAATTATGGTCATAAATCAAGAACTACCTGTACTCAAATCTGTTCTCTTGCCAAGTTCTTTAACTTGTTAGAACTAAATTTATTTGAGCCATTATTGGAGCCCCAAAATATATTAAAATGCCATGTTACATTTGAATATCAGTTTGGCTCTTATTCATCAATTTTTCATTAAAATTATTTTCCTTCCCTGTAGTTTTGGTTTATTTGTTCCTTAAGGGTTGCTTTAAAAACATAACTTAAGAAAGTTCTTTGGTTTTCTCAATGGAGAGCCTCTATTCATAAGATTTATGGAAATGTTAGATATGCTGTCAAGTAATAGATCTGGGAAATTAATCCTCTAACTAATCTAATCTTAACATCTACTCTTACAATTTGAGTAATTTGGGGTTTGGGCCAGCCTCCTCTCTATCATCCATTGTAACAATGAAATTTTGTAGAGTGACTGGCACAAAAAGAGGTTATTATGAAGAAAGAAAATAGTCTGTATTCATTTAGATTTGAAATGTGCCAGATGTAAGCGTTTAGTTTTTTCATTCACCATTAATTTCTAATAAAGGAAGATGCATCTGTAGTATTAACCAGCAAGGCAGAAAGCCAACAGCTTCTCTAGTTCCCTTTGCACATTCTCTAGCTTGTACATACAATACTTTTTTTGTTAAAAGTATGCTGCCTATATCAGAGATGTTTTCTGCAACGCTAGTAAACTAAATATACAGCGAAAATAGATTTATTTCATGATGCCCAAACTCCATGGATGAATAGTTAAAACAAGAGAGACACTTTGAGAACAGCAACTCTTAAAATGCATGAAACTGAGATGTAATAATATGTTTTGGAAATTAATTGGTTAAAATTCAACACAAAAATATTTTTAAAAACAGTATTATAAATGTCAGATATAGAAAATCATATTCATGGAAATGAAGTTGGTAATTAATTTCCACAGAATCAGAATAGGGTTTCTTAGTTTAAAAAATTACTTTTTTGATCATATTCAAGGCACAAGCAAAGGCCCGGGCTGCAGTCCTGAAAGAGCAGTTAGAACGAAAGAGAAAAGACGCATATGAAAGAGAGAGAAAAGCTTGGGAAGAGCATGTAAGAAATGTTAACCTATTGGTTGTTTTCCATCTGCTTGCAATTTTTCTTTGAAGCTTTAAACTAAGTGTTGCCTTGTAGTGCACTAAGTATGTGTAAATAGTACAATGCTCTTAAAACTTAAGAGATTTTGATTTTTTTTTTCTTTTGTATTTTGAGAATCTGGTCACTGGATCTTCTTGGACAGAAAATTGTCTTAGGCAATGTTCTGTCCTCGAGCAAGTCATAATTGAGACATTCCTCCTAAGCACTACTAATTTTATTGCCTTTATTCCTCTCTTGATTTATTTTATAATCATCTCTGTGATTTGCCCTTTAAGCCTCTCTGAGACATATTTCAGGTACTATTCAGATCATTGAATTGATTGTTTTTAGATGATAGGGTAAAGAATTCCTATACCCAGGACCCATAAATGTTTGGTTTAATTTCTGTAATCACCACCTGTCTGCTTCCAAGTACTTGAATGTGCAGAAAATGTAGAGGAAATTGAAGGGTTTTTTTCCCTACTAGATAAAGAGGCATGAAAAAGAAATTGTTTCAAGGCAACAATAAACTCCTAATTTCATTTTGGTCTAACTACAACAAAATGTGTTACCTTCATAACTCAGTTTTCAGTAGGAGAGTGATTTTAACTTATCACACTTATCTAATGCTAGAAATGAGGTAGAATTAAAAAACTGAGTATTTAGTAGTTTAATTATAGAAATGAAAATAATATTAATAATTAATAATATTATTCAATAATATTTGGAAAAATGTTTGGAAGCTGTTCATGGAAGAAGAAATGAAAATGTTTCTATCTTTACATTTTGTGTTAATATTTGATTCTTCCTTCCTTTTACGTGTGTTTGTGTGTGTGTGTATGAATTATAATTACAGCTAGTGTCCAAAGGGATAAAAACTCCAGTGGGAGCTTCAGAATTAAGTCCTACTAAGCAGGAGGAAAGTTCTCCTACTAAATTAAAGCTCAATTCACCACAGATCATCACAATGACATCAGCTTTGAAGGAAGTGGGTGCAGTAAGTAATGTCATCATTTGCAAATAATAAAATTATAGAGTTTTGGATAAAAAAATTCTTCTACTATACCACAATTTCTTATTGCCACCTTAAATTCACCTTTTCCCAATATTTTAAACTCCAGAGTATTGTTGGAAAATTATGATAAAATGAATCAAAACAAATTTGAATATATATGTGTGTGTGTGTGTGTATGTGTGTGTGTGTGTATGTGTATATGTATGTGTATGTGTATATATATATATATATATATATATATATATATATATATATATATATATATACA